CACCCGATTTGACGCCGATGATGATGATACCCCGCAAAGTTTCACTCTGAAGTCAATTGCTTCGCCGCAGAACCAAGAAGAATACCCCGCTCGGCCAACGTAACGCCTAACCCCGCGACCCGGATGATGCGGTTTGGCATGATCGAAGCCGCTGATGTGAGACGAAGTTGTCGGCGTTAGGCATAGAGGTCTCGAGAATGAGACCGATAGTGGCTTGGCCGGTTTTTGAAGACCGAATTGCCTCTTGAACTATCAAAAGGCGTGATTGAATGGCGCAGAGCCTCAAATCTCCGAGCTGCCTCCATACCACCGAGCGCTGCCTCAAATGACTCTTATCACTACCGACGACGGGGCCGGGTCTCGGTCCGTCGGCCGGCAGATAGGGAAGATTGCCAGGAGAACTTCAATTTCACTCACAGAACTTTCGTATCAATGCGATGGTAATGTCGTTCATCCGAACTCGTGCAAATGAGCCTTGGTATGGGGACACCCAACTGCGTAGCCTAGTCTCGGACTGGTGATCTAGCAAGGTTTCATCATGAGCAGGATATACTGGACCAAATGGACGGTGGCCATGAGACGATATGCTATGATTCTTATTGTACATACCTTTAGTGAAGTTCTGATGCTTTATCGTATCAAAATCTTCTCAGGGGCACCTAGATCAACCAAAATAGACAACTAAAGCCCACACGCTGAAGAGCAAGACCGCCACAATAATATATCAACATTTCGTTTGCGGTAGACCCAATTCGATCTTCGCTTTTCTTGTGGTCATTATCTATGTCACAAGTTCTGGCTCAGGTGCCATTCACCCTGAGGTTTGAGAATGTGTTATTGGTAACCCGGTCTTTCTCGAATCAACTCGCATTTGGCTTTGTTTTCTTTTTTTAGCTGATTCACGGAAGTATAGTTGTGGTAACCGAAGCAGAAATGGTCTTTTAGTCTGGCCTCAGAGTATTGCTGAAAATTGAACCACTTCAATTTCAAAGATTCAATGACTTCACATAATCATCGCGGTCTCTGTAGAGATCACTGTTCGTGGCTATTTGATTCGCGAATCTAGTAGCTCATGGCTTGTGTAATAAACTGCAATATTTTTAATGGTCTTCTAAGCGCTCATCATGCTAATGTTGGAGTGCATCTAGTTCTTTAGGCTTCAATTAGAGTCGCAGCAATGAGTATGTTGGAAATCACTGAGACCCAAGTGATTAGTTCAATGCATATAAATTTGCACGTTTCTAGCTGTTTTATCTATTGCAGTGCTCAAAGTTTCAATGCCATTTCCGGAATTGACAGTAATCACTGTGGGTGTGTGTGTTGTCTTGGAACCAGAAGTTTGTTCTTTGGTCAGTTTGATTCAAAAAGCATTCCTTGAATAAGGTACCTTCTTTCGCTGCTCGGCCCTACTCCCTGGGAAATACCTCTCCAGGTTTTGTTCCCCTGCCACTCGCGGCTTCCGGTCCACTTGATATTACCTGCCAATTTAGGCATATTTAGAATGTCCAAATAGGTAACATCGTTGTGTCATGAACCGACGTCTGAGCCTCTGTGCTAACATCCATCTGGTTCTGCATGAGAACAAGGGAAAAGTACTAGAAGGATGGTTCAATTGGATGAATCTAATGCCGAATTGCGCGTGTTGTACAAATTTTGGTAGGCAAACTTATCATCTACAGTAACTAGTGAGCATGGTATCTATCTTGCCCAGTCCACCTGCTCTGTGTATCAACTATGTTGGCAGTTGTAGAGTATGGTGTAGCTCTGCCATGTGGGCGAAAGGATAAATAGCCTTGACGAAATGGATGAACATGATGACGTCGTTCAATCAGATGGTAAATAGACTGATGGTTCCAGATGTCCATGAGACCTAGCATCACTATTGAACTCACTTCGCAGCAAATCCGGTGCAATTTACGATGATATTATCACGTAGGGTACTGCTACGCATCAAATATATGGACTGCTTCTCTTATACCTCTTACTTTCAACGATGGGTTGTTTCCCGTCTCTGAACTCTTCACGGAAATACCTTAAGTACGCATGCTAGTTCATTGTTCCTAGCTAAGCAGAGATAGGCATAAAATATTCGCCACCAGAACCTCCATTACCCATTCCACGACACCAAGGTAGCAACGAAAAATTAACTCCTTGACCGGACTAGAAGCGCCGCGTGCAGCACTCAAGACTCGGTCGCATAGACGAGGCCTTCTAGGATTGAATTCGAGCAACATCACATGACATAAACCACTGACTGGTCTCACTAACGCAACTCTGATTTGATCCATTCATGGTCTTATCGTTGCCGCACCGCCCACCAACCGCTTATGTTGGCATTCACATGTGAAGTCAGGAGGACAGATCGATAGCTACCATGATTTGTGTAATTGGAATCAGATGTCTCTTAATTGCTCTGATAAAATCCCCTGCATGAGCATCGGTGTATGCCTTCTAAGGTCGAACGAATGCGAATGAGAGATGCTTGCCGAGGCAGCGAGGTAATGATGAAGTGTAGAGTTCGGGTGATAGTATGAACATGAGGCGACGGGGGAGAACCTAAAGCATAGAGACAATTGTGAAAGAGGTTTCGAGAAGTTGCCGTCAAATCGATAGGTCGAAGCGTCAAATGTGCCGAGGCACGTGTTTTGACTGACGCTGTCGTTCGCATTCGCATGGTAGTGGAGGGACGAAGCAGCCAAAGAGAGGCTGGATCGAGGGGTTGAGGAGGCGTCAAGACGCTCTAAGACATGCGAGCCCCTGCATGGCATCCTCCACCAAGCACGAGATCGACGCGTGCATGACCCGCTAGAAAAAAAAAAGCCTCGGCATGCACGTTGCCTCAACAAAAAATCCTCTGATCGCACGAGTTTCCATACATAAGATCTTTGCTGCCATCACGACCTCAAGCGTTCGGAAGCCTTACCACCAAGTCGACAGCAGGTCACAGAAACTATGGCGGAAGAACTCGACATCCTCATTCTTGGCGCAGGCATCTCCGGCGTCAATGCCGCGTACCGTGTGCGGACAGAGCTGCCAGACAGCACCTTCGCGGTGCTTGAGGCCCGTGACGTAGTCGGTGGGACGTGGTCTTACTGGAAATATCCCGGATTCCGCTCCGACTCGAACATGACGAACTTTGGCTTCGGATGGCATCCTTGGCCTCACGACAAGAAGATTATCGAGGGCGCGCCCATTGCAGCTTACATCGAAGATGCGGTGAAGACACACCACATCGACAAGCACATCCGATTTCAGCACAAGGTGGTGTCATCAGATTGGGACAGCGATGAGGCACGATGGACTCTGGAGTGCAATACCCCCCAGGGAACCAAGAAGATCAAAGCAAAGTTCCTCTTTGTTCGTTCTGGATACTATTCCTACGACAAGGCCCTGAAGACACACATCCCCGGAATCGAGAGCTTTGAGGGCAAGACGATCCACCCTCAGTGGTGGCCCGAAGACCTTGACTACGCTGGAAAGCGCGTCATCATCATCGGTTCCGGCGCCACCACCATGACCTTATTTCCCAACATCGCCAAAACAGCTGGCTTCACCACCATCCTCCAGCGCAGTCCGTCGTATGTTTTCGCACTAGGGGCAGAATCACCAGTCGACAAAGCCGCGAAAAGGTTCTTACCTCTGTTCTTGGCAAACTGGTTCATCCTGCTCAAGGACCTTCTCCTAGAGACTGTCTTTATCCAGATTGTTTTGGGCTTCCCCAACCTGGCTAAGCAGTTCCTTCGATTCGATGCAAAGCGTCGGCTTCCCAAAGACTACCCTGTCGATATCCACTTCAAACCCAAGTACAACCCCTTCGAGCAGCGCCTCAACATGTGCCCAGATGGAGATGTTTTCAAGACGCTGCACCAGCCCAACACGGAGATTGTCACGGACCACATCGAGACGGTCACGAAGGATGGCATCCTCACCAAGTCCGGTCGTCATCTGCCCGCCGACATTATTGTTACGGCAACTGGACTGCACGTACAACTTTTCGGAGGTACGGATGTGACTGTCGATGGCGTCCCCGTCAAGGTTGGAGAGAAGTATAGTTGGCGCGGCTGCATGCTCGACGGTGTGCCCAACGCGGCTGCAATCATCGGCTACGTCACTCAAACCTGGACTCCTGGCGCCGATACCGTGACCAGACTTTGCATCCGTGTCATCAAGCAGATGCAGAAGACCGGTGCCGTTGCTGCCACCCCCGTCTTGTCGGACGAGGAGAAGAAGAACTCGCCCAGGTTGCCTTGTGTAGATGCCACATCCAACTACTTCACCCGCGCGCACGGTCGAATGCCCGTGGTGACTAACCAGGGACCTTGGTATGGAAGAAAGAACCTTATCGTGGATAAGCTGGCGCTTTGGTTCGGGAGTGTGACGGTAGGCATGGACTATCGCTTGGCAACGAAGTCCAAGGACATTTGATGATTACGAGAATAATGAGCCATGGATGTTAGCCTACCTGGTCGTCGGCATAGAGTTGAGAATGCACAATTCAAGATTGCTTGGCAAGCCGAGAGCCTCCCGTATTTTAACCGTCTCACCTAAGATCTCGCGCTGATCATGTATTCGCCGTCAGACCGATCAGCTGATTTGCCGGCCGTTGCGAGGGCATAAGCTACCCTATGTTGTGCTCAAAGGTGAGGCGAGACCTGGGTACCGTGCTCACTGGGGCTGTACCTCAGACTTGCCTCACCATAGAAATCGCTTGCCACAAGTAGCTCAGCTTTTAGGGTGGCAGAGGGTTCTCTAGGGCCTCCCGACTTGGGTAAACTGTTGATTTCAGAGGAACGAACAAGGGATTGTTTTCTTAGTCTCAACGTTGATCCCAGGAACATCGACCAGGCCCACCAATCGATCGGTAATTCGTCCCGCTGATCAGCAGCGAATTCCATGGATAACCTAACCACCTATACACGCAGAATGTTCCTAAGAGATATGCATAACACAGGTATGTTACAAAGTGGAGTGAAGAAGACGCGGCAAGTTTACGACTGTACATAAGAACCTCGCGTGCACGGTCACGCTGCCGCTGGGACATTTTTGGGACAGCTCAAGACGCAAAACGAAACGCTGCAACGCAATAGCGGGATGGCGGCAAAAATCCCCGGCATGGGGCCGTCTCGGGAGGTCTTCAGGATCGACATAACCCTAGTTGCAACTCGCATCTTTGTTCACCATCCCGAGGACCAGTTTCGCCATTTCAGCTGGAAGATCGCGACGATGAGTTGTCTCTCGCTAACGAGCCAAACGTGGCTGTGGTGACCGGCTTTTCAGGTCTTCTGGGCGAGGGACACTAAAATGATTCATGTGAGAATCAGACGTATCTCATCCGTTCGCCGTCCGAGCACTCGTGCCGCATGTAATGCAAGAAATGAGGCTCTGAGCACGGAATCTCAGGCTCCCGACAAGTATCGCTTCACCCGATATTTCTTCATCCAACCCGCAGCCTTTCCGTGCGGGGAGACCCCTCATCGCGCATATCCTACTGGACGTGCTGGCCTGGTTTGATCAGCGTAAACAAACTGGGCCACGAATCCCACCCACCGAGCCGACGAACCTCTGCCCCTGTTCGAGGCCTCCCCACGGCAGAAAGGAATGCGATTCGCCTGATACTCGAAACGCCTTCGCAATGTCCATCAGAACAACACCACAGAACACGAGCACAGTAAGCAAGCACATACCCAAAATCGTTCGCCAAGGCGAGACGAAAGTGCCGTTTCGAAATGGAAATAGAGTCCGCGTTGCCAAGAAACGTCAGCGAGATGCCATTCGATATCCACAACACCGGCTCTGCGGCAGCAGTGCGTCTCGGGAGTTTCTAAGCTTGCTCTGGACGAGTTGGTGGCGATCCGAGGCATCCGCCCTGTTGGGTTTCTGAGAAAAGTTGAAATACCCGTATTCGTCCACGCATCTTTCCATCTTTCGACGAATACTCTATCCTCAGCGTCCTATTTTTTTGTGCCGGTCCACTCTATAATATCCGTTCTTCATTTACGAGCTGCGCTCTTTTAAATCAACGTACAAAGTTTAATCATTCACTCAAGTCAATACCGCCAATATGCGCTTCACCGTCGCCCTCACTACTTTGGTCGCTGCCGCCATGGCCGCACCTCTCGATACCCTTGCTGCCCGTGCAGACGAGCTCAACGCCGCCATCCAGGCTCTCGCTGCCGAGAACCCTGAGGATGCCGAGGCTGCCAAGGGTCTCTTGGGCCGTGACATCGATCCCAATGTCCAGCTCACAAATGATGACGAACAGGAGGAAGTTTTCAAGCGCGAGGACGACCTCAACGCCGCCATCCAAGCCCTCGCTGCCGAGAACCCTGAGGATGCCGAGGCTGCCAAGGGTCTTCTGGGCCGTGATATCAACCCTAATGTTCAACTCACGAATGATGACGAGCAGGAGGAAGTCTTCAAGCGCGAGGACGATCTGAACGCCGCTATTCAGGCTCTCGCTGCCGAGAACCCTGAGGATGCCGAGGCTGCCAAGGGTCTTCTGGGCCGTGATATCAACCCTAATGTTCAACTCACGAATGATGACGAGCAGGAGGAAGTCTTCAAGCGCGAGGACGATCTGAACGCCGCTATTCAGGCTCTCGCTGCCGAGAGCCCTGAGGATGAGAACCCTGAGGATGCCGAGGCTGCCAAGGGTCTTCTGGGCCGTGATATCAACCCTAATGTTCAACTCACGAATGATGACGAGCAGGAGGAAGTCTTCAAGCGCGAGGACGATCTGAACGCCGCTATTCAGGCTCTCGCTGCCGAGAGCCCTGAGGATGCGGAGGCCGCCAAGGGTCTTCTGGGCCGCGATATCAACCCTAACGTTCAGCTCACGAACGACGACGAGCAGGAGGAGGTCTTCAAGAGGGATATCAACCCTAACGTTCAGTTGACAAACGACGATGAGCAGGAGGAGGTTTTCAAGCGCGATATTGACCCCAACGTCCAACTCACCAACGATGATGAGCAGGAGGAGGTCTTCTAAATACAAGTAGCCACCAGTTGAGCTTGAATCCGAATGCTCTTTCGCAGTACACCGGAAACGGAAAGCGAGAATATCTCATGTATTTGATTGCTGAATAGAAGTCCAATTGATCCTGTGGAACTGTGTATTTGGACCGAGGACAGAGACCTTGACCAGTAACCTAAAATGCCATTTACTACAAAATAGTGCTAACCATGGCTACGGGAGATCTCCACCAAATCCACTAAAGTTGACATTTAGTTATGGCTTTTGGAGTTATCGGGTAGATATCACTTTGTAATAGATCCGCAGGCACCAATACTGATAATTTCATTGTTGAACGGGGTAGATACACGTGATGAAGACGAAAGTCTGTGTCAAAGAACATGTGTTTCACCCAAGTCACATGAATAGCAGCCAAAACTTTACTAATTTAGGTCATTTATTGATGTAATGCCGCGAAACTTGCTGTTGATTCTATTTATGGCAAATATTCCGGCGACTTGATATTATGGTCGAGTTGGTGCCGAGACTGCCATCTGAATCCTTAGCCCTGCCTGATGGCTGCTTGGGTAAGAACATTATGTCTATACCGCACTCATAATGAGATGAGTCGGGTCTCTTTGAAATGGGAGGGTTGCCAGATTGCCGGTCCAAACTTCCTCATGGTAGGTAGTCGCTAGGTTTGATATATTTTGGAAACTAATACCCGCCATGCTTTTTGGATCGGCAATCGCATCCACGTACGCAGTTCCAGAAGGCATCATCCCCGGCAATCGATGTAATGCCGCAGAGTGCGGGGCAAAAGGGTCTTAAAGACGCCTTCGACCAGGTTAGTTGTTGGCAACGTATAATGCAGTGATGTGTTTACTTACGTGGATACACATTGTTGATGTTGATACGGTCGTCATAGCCCCGTCAAATTCCTCTGCCGAAATGGAGTCTGTCATCGCAGTCGGAAGCGTATGGCTGGTTGCTGCTTGGCCAGTTTCTTTAACGTCGGTTGGGAGTGCCATGCCAGGAGTAATCAAGGCGGCAACGATGAGCTGAGAGAAGGCCGATAGATGCATATTGACGAGTCCAGAATAGATGGGACTTTGTTGGCTGTTTAAGTTTAAATCAAGGGCGATATATGAGGTAGTGAACTGTTGTATCTTGCGTTAGATGTGCAATTAGGAAACGAAATCGTAGATGCGAAATGAGAGTTGATCTGCACGCTGCAAATTTCTCCGTCACTTAAATATTTTGGGTTTGAATGGGACAGGACTACTTCTCAGCAGAATCGTATTAGCTTTGGAAATTGATGGAACAGGGCTTCGTGGGTCTAAACTCCCTTGATGGAAGGCATTCCGTCAAGGTGCAACTCTATCTTTTAATCGGCACCTTGACCATACGCTGAACATACCTGGATGGCTTTTGAATTGCTTGGAATAAGGCAGACCTCGATCAAGCTTACAGTCAGACGTGTTGTAACTAAAATTACGATATTTAATGGTACTGTGCGAAGTGCGTGTCAAGCTTTGACATTGGAGATGTGATAAACTATCGGAAAACTACTTGAGAAAGCTTATTCCTTGCTCCCAAGGAACAAGTTGAGATGTTGTGTATAGAGCTCTGGGTACTGGAATAAATGACCATGGCCGGCATCAGGATAGATTATGAGCTGAGCATCCGACAGGTTCTGTTGAAGAGTGAAGCTGTTGGAAGTTGGCGACATGATGTCAGTGTGACCGTTAGTGACTAAAGTGGGAGCTTTGATAGTCTTCATGCGCTCAAAGTTGTCCGTGTCAACCGTGAACGAGAAGATTGCGTTCAGTTGGGCCCTCGCTCCAGGTCCGATCAGGTATTCTCTGCGCTCCTCACCGTCAACCTTTCGCTCATGGATTCGCGTCCACCACGCTTCGCCAAGTGCGAGGCTCGTTTGCGACGGGTGGTAGAAAAGATGGAACATCTCCTCCTTGGTAGGCGGCTCATCGTTGGCTGTTCCGGCACTTTCTAGAACCTCGCGAGGTGGCAAGACAACTCCTTCTCCGACGCCTGGTTGAGTCCCAGCCAGAATCAACTTTCGAACCAGCTGAGGATAGTCCCACGCCAGAATTTGAGCCACACCACCTCCCATGGAAAAGCCAATGACATCAGCCTTGGAAACACCAAGGGCAGCGAGAAATTTGGCTGCAATTGAAGCCATGACTTCAGTGGAAGAGGGCACCTCGCCCTCACTGTGCCCGATACCGAAGCTGTCATATACGATGACTTCTCTTGATTTCGCAATCGTATTGAAGAGAAGAGGGTCGAGAGTGTCCATTGAACCACGAAGATGGTTAATGTAAAGCAAAGGGACCTGCCTCTTTACCCCGATCCGGCGGTAAGCGATCCGGGTGTTGTCGACGGCGACATATTGGGTCTCCACTGTTTGATAGGTAGACATTCCGATGATGAGCAAAGTCCGTTGAGGATTGTGACTAGACTGGATGTTGAATTCTTGACTGAAATGAAGTTGCTAACTTGTATTCTTTCGATGAAAGAGATTGTTTTTCAAGTCGAAGCATCTCTCAAGTGGACTTTATAAACATCTCTTCGCCTGCATCGCCCTTTTCGCGTCCAGGGGCAGTGCTGAATGACATCCTCACCTTCCGGTGAAGACTCCGCGATATGTCATCCTTTCCGACTGAGCAAATCGCCCTCGGATGCTCTGACGTGGGCCAAGCTTTAGTATGCTTAGTAGAATGAATGGAATTTTTGTGTGCCTTACCAAAACCTCCTCACTCAGCTGTTGCGCTTGATTACTCGATGGCACAGATACAAACCATACCCCAAACTTCGGATCCGGGGCAATGTGGAGCCATCTTAAGGTACGGACCGATGTGTGGGGTAATTAATCAGTAATCGTTCCGGATGTAGTGCCGGAGTAATCCGGACCCGCCGGCTCCAGGACAATTTCTAAGCGGACAGGCGTAGACGGAAGTACCAAATGAGATCAAGATGCCAGTCTCTGGATCTTCTAGATGCTGCAGGTGGTGAACAGCAACTTCAACTGCCGCAATGGATCCGTTAGACTGGAGGAGATGTTAAGTAATCATGCGCAAGGTCAGACATTGTCGTGATGTGTAGTGTGTTGCTACATAGATGGCGTTAAATATGTGATAAACCTCCTTCCAGATTACGATGTGTACACATCAACTCCCTTTAGCCTTGTTACTCTACTCGCTTTCCACCCTTTGCGCAAACAATAGTATCTACGAAAAACAAACAAATCTGTCGTCATACAGCTCGATCATATCACAACGTACAACCTTTGGCCAGTACAGATTCTTTCCGAAACATCTTCAAAATTATCTGGTACACTGGAAAAATGGCTCAGATGATGAAGGCTTACCAGTTCTCAACCCCAGCGAAAGGCCTGGAGTACCGTGAGCTACCTATTCCGGTCCCGGCCAAGGACCAGCTCCTGGTTCAGATCAAGGCGACCGGGCTTTGCCACACCGATTGCAACATAATTTCTGGACTCGACAATACGTTCTTCTGGAACAGACCCATCACTCTAGGCCACGAGATTGCTGGCGTAGTGGTTGGTTGTGGACCTGAGGTCTCGAAGTTTGCCGCTGGAGACAAAGTCGTGTCCGTAATCACCGCGAAACACCCGGTAGAGATCGGAGATGTTGTCAAAAGCCCCGGCATCGGCATAGACGGCGGGTTCGCCGAATACGTTTTACTCTACGAATCGAAGACCTTGCCCATCCCCGACGGAGTCAGCTTTGCGCAAGCCGCCGTTGCCACGGATGCCATTGCGACAGCCTACCATGCCGTTGCAACTGAGGGGCAAGTTCAGAGATCATCGAAAGTTGCCATCATTGGACTAGGCGGCCTTGGGTTATCCGCTGTTCAGATTGCATCTCACCATGGGGCCAAGGTCTACGGGGTTGACCTCCATCGTCGCAAGTATCCTGCAGCACTGATGTCCGGGGCCTACTGCTGCGGAAGATCCCTGGATGACTTCCCTGGCGTCAAGTTTGATGTTGTTCTTGACTTTGCTGGAGTCGGCATTACCACCGCTGCCGCCGCCAAAGCCGTCAAGGCGGGTGGTAAAGTTGTTCTCGTCGGGCTCACCAAGAAGGAGGCCACAATCGACACGCACAACTTCGTTGCCTTGGGCGTGCATCTTGTGGGATCTGTTGGGTCATCGATGAACGAAGTTGAGATAGCGCTGAGGATGGTTGCAAAGAAAGAGATTACTCCTGCTATCGAGGAGGTTGCGTTCGGGAACTTGAAGAATGAGTTACACCGCCTGGAACGAGGTGATACCGTCGGGCGTCTGTATGCCGACCCATCAAAATCAATTGAGAGGGTGGTGAGAGCCTAGAAATTGCGAACATGAAGATATCAATTCAACCATTTTGTGATCGAGTCCGAGTTCACTCACGCCGGAGACTCCTGTTAGATGATTCTCTTCCTTTACTTCCAAGTGACTTTCTCTTGCTCCGATATCTCTAGATTGCTGTACGGTCGTTTTCGATACTGATGTCTCCCTAGCGAGTTGCGAGTCTTGGAATTGATTATCGAGGGTTTGCAGGAGATTGCACCTTGTGCTCAGCAAGAGTGATGACCCGAATCAGAACCCGGCTGCTCCCCTTGAAGCTCGTCTAATTTCGTGGCGAGCCTGACCCTCAGTCGTGAGTCATCTTTTCTAGGACGCGGGAGATGCGTAGCCTGCGGTGAATGGGTTGAAAGAGGGCTTAGTTGTCGGGCACCCAATCAGTCTAGATGCAGTTTTTGGTGCATCCGTCCGCTTGTTTTGTCTCCGCCTGATGCTGGATATCTTACAGAGCTCAGGTGGATCCCGTGGCTGCTTGAAGATTCGGATGATCGTTGATTTGCATTAGCCGGTTACTCCCCCTGTTTCTCACGTAGGGCTTCCAGGCTCGGACGATGCGGAATTAACGTAACGCGACAAGCGTACGGGCGAAAGGAAAAAGGAGGCATCAAGGGCTCAAGTCAAAGGGGGTGTTGCAGAATATCAAGCAGATTCCAGTCCAGTTATTCTCGCAGCTCTATGCGGAGAATTCCCCGGCAGATTTCCGAAAGTACCTGTATAGAGGCTGGGGAGACTCCTCGAAGCCGACACGCCAAAGCAATAAAGCTTCGCGACTCACGGCGCTTGTGGCTACTGCTTTAGCCTTTAGGGCCATCCCACCGGCACATATTTCTAGTGACAGTACCTGGAGCAGTGGAGTATGCTAAGAACCGTGCTAAAAATGTACCTCCTGGAGACAACGCCATGGCACCGAGGTCACCCGGGAGTGGCGGCATTGTACTCGAACTTTTGATCTATCACAACGAGCTTATGGGCTATGGCTATCAGGGGCGGGGTTTCAGTGGGTTGAGGTCACCAACTTCTGGGTAATTTTACTGTAATCGGAATCGCGTGCGGACATGACCCTCGCTTCTCAAACAGAGCTCTCGTCGCAGGAGATATGACGCCACACATGAGGATTAATCAGCCTCCTCGGCCGGGCCTTGACAGTGAGGAAGTACTGCTCCATGGCTGAAACGGCTTGGGAAATCATGGAAGTTGGTATTGAGAAATAGAATTGGCAGTTTGCGGCCCGCAAGCCCCCAACATCTTGATGAAGTTTCGCATCCTTCACTAACCAAAATCTGCATTCATATTTGGGGCAGAAACTAGTTTTTCAAGATGTCTTGCGCAGTAATTTCCGCCGAGCTCTTGCTATACCATTATGTGCCTCCTTCTCCTTTAGATCTTTGAGACGTTGCTAATCGAGAAGCATACGTCGCACACTCCCTGGGGATAGTTTTCATGCGTCCATGGCTTGGCAAGCGGTATCTATCCAGCTGCCATCTGTGATATCACGTTATGTGCCTGTAACCCATCAGTTCTGATTGAGAGCATATTAGTGACACATTCCATGGATAGCAATGTTTGGAGTTGCCTTCATATGTAGCGAGGATGAATGAAGCCTGCCCTCTCGACCGGGAACCTAAGACTGGGTAGTGGTATGATCAGGGACCCCAATCGCGAATGAATAAAGTGTCTCACGGCAAACCGTCGAAGCATGCTAAGTCGCCTGTTTGGAATCTTAGTATTCCGAAATACTCATCTCCCACATAAGACTTTTTATATCTAGAGCAAATAATCTGCCGTTACCTATTTGGCCTGGCACCGAAGCTTTGCGGCCCGCGAATGTGGCGCAATGCCCCTCCTGCGACAGCCCGACAGTGCTGTTCACTCAAGAACGGCACATGAGAGCTAGTACCGCCTATGGATACATCGGTATCGCGGTTTTCTGGTTAACTCCCCGCGGTATCGGGAAGGACACCAAATCAGCGCCGGCATTGCCCTCCTTTGGCATTTGCTCCGTGGCCTCTCGATGCTCCCAAGTCAAAAGGGAACGCTGTGGCCGCCAAGTGCGGGGGACAAGTCTATTCGATGCTCACGGCACAAAGCAGGACATGCTAGCAGTTCTCACTGGAAAGGGAAGGTGACGAATTCACACAATTTAGACTTGAGGGTCATTTGTAAAGCATCCTGAGTTCTCTAGAGCGAAGCGCTGCTTGATGTCTAGGTTCCTACATCACAGGTAGATAATCATTCTGGTACTTTTCGCGTGATGCAAAGTGCTGATACGCTCCACGATAATGTAGCCCAAACTTCAAGGAGCTCGACAGTCCACCACGCCACAAAGCCTCACACGATGTCTATCTCCGTTCTCGGACTGCCCATCTGCCGTATTCCAGAGATGCTCAAGACACTAGGCCTGCATCTCGGGACCGACGTATCACTATTCCCTTGGCGATTAACTTGAGTCAATCGGTCTTGGCCGTAGTTCTGTAGGTTGTAACTACTAACGGCTTGCCTATGTACCCTCTGATGGCTATTGGTCCATTGGGCCCTAGCACGTCTGGCCGTGTAGAAGTTGCTTGCAGATGTCAGTGAAGATCACCACCCTTGTCAGTCATTTGAATAACAGGTGCCCGCTCATTGCCCTTCATTCAACTAATCGTGACCTGGAGGCTGCGATTGTCACCCGGTAAAACGGGGTCGTTTTACTCAAACAGCAAGTTTGATGCTCCTTGGGTTGGGATCTTGAAGACTGAGGTCTGTCGTGATACTAGTCCGATAGCATCGATAGCTTAGACCCCTGGGTCTGTCCCCAATGGGGCCAATACCGACTAACTCTAGAAGTGACGAGTCCCACCCAAATTGGCCGAGGCCCGACGTTTAAAAGTTACAAGTTCCACTCGGCGGGGATGTGTAGAGCTGGAAGTGGATTCAACGTCAGTGGAAATTTCGAGGCGTGGATGAGATTAAGAAGAAAAAGCTTCTCAGCGGCCGCAGTAAACCCAAGTGGAAGACTTTTCCGATACACCGAGTGCGTGAAAAGTACATCATTGGACGATACATCGTGGAGAGTCGGAAAGGCTACGGAAGAAATCGTCGAAAACCCCAAATTCGGTCTTCGGTCACTAGTAGACCCCGCCATTGAACCGTCTATGTGTGGCACTGAATTCGAGCCGGCACGGCCGAATCCAAGAGCAATGGAGCCGATCGCCAGTTATGGTTGCAAGAATCCGAGACTAGAACTTTTGGGTGGGCTCATGTGCGGAGCACGTCATGAATATCTTACCACCCCCAAGACTCGACTTCGCTGGAGGGATCACATACCTGTAACCTGGCCTGGCATTGTCTGGCACATCAAAGTCGCACAACATTGAAGTCTACCCAATTCATTCTCTCGCCGAGAAGAAATGCGGAGCACTCTATGCGACAGTGTGGCTCAGCGGTGAGTCTACAACAAGCTTCCAAGATGCGCCAAGCTACACAAACTCTAACCCTGCAAACGCGAAGGGCCTCAAGACTGAAGGTGGTCGACTTGACAGCCCTGATGCCGACTCATGACCCTGTGAAGAAACGTCCGAACTGACCACTCATCGTCCAACTGCAGTCCATTCCAGGAACTCGGATAGCGCCTAAATGATGGGCCCTCCCCCAATTGCCTGGGGAGTCGAGGCAACTCGTCCGTCCTTCTCCCACATCCCGATGAACGACTCCCAGCGCAATGGTTCAGCTCATGGGAATAAGTCTAAATTCTAGCAGTGCATTCACTACCACCTGGAGCCCCTAAACTTTACTTTTAGGGGGACATGGAGAGATCCGATGGACAAGTCGGAGGCCGCGGAACACAGAAGACCTGCGGAAACTGCCGAAAAATCGGGCGAGCTCGTCATTCAAGGCCATCCCAGGCCTACATCATCGCACATGATGCAGCAGCAATCTGCATCAAGAACCTTGCAGAAAATACCTCAATCCTAGCCTATCGCAAGCTATCGACAGGTGGCATAGCTCGTGGAGGGGCGGCCCAGCTTGTCGAATATAGACCGGGGCCTTTTCGAAAGCCACGTTGATCCCCATGGCACAATGGCTAGACGGATACCCAAAACAGACGGTGGTAAATCCAGAGGTGACATTCAAGCCGCATGGAGCATAAAAAGAGGGGACTGGGGCAAGAACGGGGCGCTCTAACGGGATGGCTACCGAAATGAACCTCTCGCGATGCTTCTACGGCAGCCTCATGCTCGTATAGCCCTCTAAATCTGACAGAACTCTCCCTCTGCTCTAGCCCTTGGCGGCTTGGCGAGGAGGGGTAGTCCTTCGACGCCGTTCTTGATTATTATTCAGATGGATAAGATAATCTAATCAGATCTGCAGTGTGCGTCGCATTTCCTGTCACACAAGTGCCCCTCCATCGCAACGGCGAGCGTCTTCGGCGGTGGGTGGCATTACCGCATACGCTCGGTTTAATTACCTAACGAGCAAGAGAGAAAGGTTAGATGAAGAAAATAGCCGCCGTTAACCCCACGGCATGTACCTTGACATGTACGAGAAGACGATGAAGAGAGGTACAAGCCTCTTGGCGAGATCTGGCCCTGCCCGGCATTCGTGGGATGAAGGGACAGAAGAGAGTAAATAAAAGAGACAGCTTCCCCTCCAGCCCCTCGTTGGTAATGACGTCTCTTCACACCATTCGGAAATGTCTGCATCTGCTTTCATAGATACCCCTTTCAGTTCTTATTTGTCTTCCAAAATGGCCGCACCACAGCCGACTATCAACGACCTCGCTGCCAAGATTGGCGAGCTCTCGGCCGAGTTTACCAAGTTCTTGAGCGACAACAAGATCCCTCAGCCTACTTTTGCCGCGGACAGCGTCTCAAGCTACGATGGCCTCACGTCAGAAGCCTTCTTGCTTCGCCAGAAGCTGTTGGATGCCGCCAACGATCTCTCCTACCTAGTCTCAGGACCAAGTGAGAGCATCTTTAACTACACCCATAACGTAAGTTAGTCCTGGCCCTTATATGCTGCTATTCTTCATTCTTAGTGCCGTAACTTAGATAGCTGACCTTGAATAGATGTCTCCTGACGCAGCATCACTCAACACCCTCAACCACTTCGACTTCTGGTCTGCCGTGCCCATTGATGGAGACGCCTCGTACGCAGACATTGCAAAGCACGTCCGCCTGCCCGAAGAAGTAGTCCACCGTGTTCTCGACCACGCCTACACCCTGCGCATCTTCGAGGAGACCGATCCCGGCAAGCCCTTCACAACTCGCGTCCGTCACACCTCGCGATCTGCTGCGCTGCTGAAGAACGCCGGCCTCAGGGCCCTGGTGGAGGCTCTCATGAACGATGCTGGCCCGGCTATGGGTGTCCTTCCCTACGCACTGGAGAAGTTCCAGCGCGGTAAGACAGAGTTGAAGGAGGATATGACGGAGACTGCCTTTGCGCTGTACCACTCTGGCGAACTCTGTGGCGGATACACAAACTCATGGGAGCTGCTGGAGAACGACGGCGAGGGCGAAAACAAGGGCTTCCGCCAGAGAAACTTTGTCAAGTGGATGAACTACATCAAGGAGATCTTCCGCTTGGAGGGATTGGTCAACAGTGCCTACGACTGGAAGGCCGCTGGCGACTTCAGCGTTGTCGATGTAAGTTGTTTCTTGCGTTTTACTGGCGCAGCATCCAAGTATCTCAAGAAAACATTGACTGACACTGCTTTTACAGCTCGGCGGCTCTGGTGGCCACGATAGCTTCGTTTTGGCGAAGAACTTCCCCAACCTCAAGATTACCGTTCAAGACCTGCCCAACTGCGAGACTTCCTTCAACCAAAACATTCCCGAGGAGCTCAAGGGCCGAGTCAGCTTCCAGCCCCACAGCTTCTTCGAGCCGCAGCCCCTGTCCGCCGACTTGTACATGATCAAGCTTATTCTCCACGACTGGCCCGATGCGGAGTCTATCAAGATTCTCAAGGGTCTCACGCCGGCACTGCGCCCTGGTGCCCGAGTCCTCTTCATCGACTACGTCGGCAAGCAGGGTGATGTCGAGGAGAACGCCGCGGCGGCGGCGGCGCTGCCCAAGTCTATCCAGCAGATGGGCACTTCGACGGATCTGAGAATGATGGGTCTTTTCAGCGCAAAGGAGAGACCCGTCGACGCGTGGACAGAGTTGTTCAAGAAGGCGGACGAGAGATACGAGATCAAGCGTGTTGAGGCCAACCCCTTGACTTTCTTTGTCATTATCGAGGCCGTTTGGCGCGGTTGAGGCGGTTGTTTGTCAGAAACATTGTGAGGAATGATTTAGAGCGCGTCATCATGTGAATATGAAACAAAAGTTCTCGATTCTCACATCCACATCTATTTGTGTTTGTGATCTCGTTATTCATACAAAGTAGATGCCCATGACATTGTCCTAACTCCCCGGATAATTCGGCTTGAGACAGAACCCTGTCACGACGTGCGTGGGCGGGCCTGGATCTTGGCCGTCCCACATGCCACTGTGGATTGCCGCTCCCCTTGCAAGTTGCACCTGTTCACCAACCCACCAAGCCCTATCGCTTCGTGATGCCCTCCACACAGTCGGTCGACCCTTCAAATCATGTGTCTGCTTCAGCTGAGTCATCAAGTAACTTGGTCTGGTGGTGTAGTTGGTTATCACGTCAGTCTAACAGTTGGAAAGCTTCAGAACTCTCTCGTCTGCCACACTGAAGGTCTCCGGTTCAAGTCCGGGCTAGATCATCCTATGGGCGATTGGTTTAGTGGTATAATGACCGCTTAGCATGCGGTAGGTCCTGGGTTCGATTCCCAGATCGTCCATTCTTTTGATTGTTAGATGTCTCTCATTGTTCTTTTTTGAGTCGACGCTATCGCGGGTTCGTGAGCCTGGTTGTCGAGGTGTGATACAGGCCTGAGGCTGCCACTGACTTGGTAGAGGCACGGCTCATGAATTGACTCTCAATTCCACTTCGGAATTGTTGATCTTAGCTCTGTCTTATGTTTGTTTTCTATCCGAGAGAATATTGCTTGGAAATATCAAAGGCGGTGGTCCTCAGTAACACCAGACACTGCCGCAGGGAACTGCGCATGGTAGTACAGCGGATTGAGATCCCTCTACGAGCGGGCCTTTCTGCTCTGGAGAGCACTTGATTGAGTCACTGCATTTCTTCTCGATATAAGAGAGCATCTCATTCTGTCTCACTATTGTCAGCGCGAACCTGAACAGCATGATGGGATTTACGATGGCCAGCCGTCATCCAAGAATTTTAGACAATTCGTCGGGATTGAAGTTCAGCAATGGCTTTCGGGGGTAGGCCGCATGGGCCGACGCTTTTGTAGCGCACTTAGCAATGCAACCGGGCACAGAACAGGCTAAGTGTTGGGACGAACTAGTAAGGCCTCGCGGCAAGCTACAGGTGTGCAGTGAGACTGGAGACTTGGATGAAGAAGATACAACTGAAAGACACCATACTTAAGAGACAAACCATCCCATTAGTTGAGCCGGAGTGGGCGGGTGGATGCGACCGGTGAGATGGCACGGCGCTGTCGAGAGCAGCTTTTCGGCACCTTCAAGTTGCATGCAAGTGTTGACCTACATATGTAACCCCAGATAGATGCATTCTGATTGCTCAAGACAATGCCTCTCTGCGCTTGGCTTTCGTCGAATCCGAACACTCGGTCAGAGGGTGGATCCTAAGCCGGGACAAAGAAATCTAGACAACCACCTCAGGTCACGGACCAAAGATGAGGAGGCCTAGGAGCAAAACAAATCCGTCTCCCTACATGCATAGAAACCTATTGTGTAGAATGAACCAACTTCCATCTCCCGAGTGCACAATGTCTAGCTCGATTGACGTCTTACAATGTCCCGGGTATATTGTGCTACATTCATCATAACATAAGGTTCATCCATAGGGCCAAACACCGCATCACAGCATACAACTCTGGATGCTGAGGGAGAAGAAGCAGGCTTGATAGGTGACCTCGGGCCAGTCACCCTCCACATCTTCCACATGCTTCACCTAGCGCGAATCCTTAGTGCAGATGGCCTTGCTCAGCGTGATTCCAGGCTTCTTCCCGGCTTACCTTCCTCTGTTACTAGTTCTCTGCAGCCATGATTCTTCACCTCGGACGTGGGCGCTCACCTAGCCTTAGGTCGCATTTGCCAATAAAGCGAAGCTTATTCCCCAATCTCTCGTTTCTCGCCTCCATCGTGTCATTTCTCCTCACCTTTCTCTTCCCATACTCACGGGCCGACATCGTCGAGCGTGAGCCCCGATTCCGACACCCTGGACCTGCAGTTTTGTTTCTTTTCCACTTGCCCCGCGCTGTCGCGGCTGCTGTGCCTCTCTCCCGCTAGGCGTTACCAAGCCATCGGGCCCGCGACGAACGAGAAATGACAAAATAGCGACAGGGTCTACGCTTGCGCCAACCAACGACGAAATAGACGGGCGAGGCACCAGAAAGCAATTCTCAAGCACTATCGAGATACACCTAGGCAACAGAAGTCTCATGCTATTTCAGCACCAGAAGGCGCAGTTACACAGGGAATAATTGATGGAAAGCGACAATATACCCAGGAAACGAGGGTAATAATCACATCGGCGAAGAAGCAGACATACATGCATCTTTGACGGCGCCTAGTTTCTGCTCTCTTTCCTGCCCGGAACCCTGTACGACCGCCTACAAGCGAAGCAAGCTACCAAGCGGCGCAGCAACAGCAAGAACGAATCGGGGGTGCGCCAGTGAGACTGTTGGAACGGCACGGGACGGGCGACGGGACGAGAGGATCTTTCCTACGCGAGGAAGACGAGAGATTCGGGGGGAAATGGCCGGTCTCGGGTCTAATCAAGTGGGCTTGGAGGAGGGTCATCTGGGATCCATTCCAGGCTTGAGCACGTCTGGAGTCTTATTCGCAAAATCCATCGCTCTGGTCGCCGTCGTCGCCTTTTTTGTGTGGGAGTTTCGGTCATGGTATCGCCTGCGAAAGATCCCTGGACCTTTCCTAGCCTCGATCTCCGTCCTTTGGCAATTGAAAAAGGCCATTGGGGGAACATATCATGAGCACCTGAATGATATTGCGAGGAAATATGGTGAGTGTACTTCTTCATTGCTATTGAGAAAACACGTCCGGTGGCTTCGGAGTTGCGATAGCAAGTCAACGAGCACCCCGAGAAATTGGAGAGACAGACGCTGATCACTGATCGTCTTTGCAGGACCCCTCGCTCGCATTGGGCCCAACGAGCTCCTCTGCACAGACCCGGACTCGCTGCGCAAGATGTCGGCCGTCCGCTCGCCGTACACCAAGGGCAACTTCTATGACTCCGGCCGGATCACTCCGGGCATAGATAATGTTGTCTCGATACGGGACGAGAACGAACATAAGGCTATGAGGACGAGAATGGGACCGGCCGTAAGTTTCAGTTTCCTTTGTGGCCTTAGACTTTCGCTGTTGCTGGTCTTTTGTTGACCCCCAGAAGCGCTGCCACTTTTGAGTTCAAGTCCGCTAATTGCGCTCTCCGCGTTGCTGAATAGTACACCGCCAAAGAAAATGAAGGTTATGGCTTTGAGATCGGGATTGACCGCCAGCTCATGAATTTTGTCAGCCTGATAGACCGACATTACGTTTCCAGTGACTCGGAATTTCGTCCGCTGGATCTCGCCGAGAAGACACAGTTCTTTGCGCTCGACGCCATTGGCGATGTTTCCTTCGGAGGTGCATTCGGGTTTCTTGCAGAGGACCGGGACCTGTTTCGGTACATTGAGATTAACGAGTCGTCTTTGCCGATTATGAACGTCGTTTCGGTGCTTCCTTGGCTTGGAAGGCTTGTTCACAAGTGGCCTTTCAGGCTCATGTTACCCAAGGAGGATGACCAGATCGGCTTTGGTCGTTTGATGGGGTGAGTGAAGCCAATGTTGGGCTTGGCACCATCCATGAGTCTGAACACTAATAACACAACGCAGCTTCGCTAAAAACTACGCTGAAATGAGACTTCAACCCGGCGCGAAGCCCCAGAAAGACATGATGCAAGCTTTCATCAACCAAGGTCTCGGCAAAGATGAACTTATTCAACTTGTGTACATCCACATGTGAGTATCGTCCACAACTTCCCTCGATGCCTATGCTCATGTTATATCAGGATCGCTGGCACAAACTCGGCCGCACAAGCCATGCGCATGACATTATTATCGTTAATTAACAATCCGGTTGCGTACCGTCGGCTCCAGCGGGAGATTGACGATGCTACTGCCGCCGGCCTGATCAGTTCTCCCATCACCAATGCCGAAGCCCTGAGACTCCCGTATCTCCAAGCCGTCATCCGCGAAGGCCTGCGTTTTTACCCTCCTGTCACTGGCCTCGGCTTCAAGCAAGCACCGGAGGGCGGAGACTTCCTAAACGGCTACTTTGTTCCTGGCGGCACCCAAATCGGACACAATTTCTTCGGCGTCGGACGCTCCCTCTGGGTGTGGGGTCCGGATGCCGATGTTTTCCGCCCAGAGAGATGGCTTTCGGCAAATGAGGATGATCTCAGACGAATGAACGCCGCAGTTGATTCCCACTTTGGCCACGGTAAATACTCTTGTCTCGGGAAACCGATCGCGATGATGGAGTTAAACAAGGTCTTCGTTGAGGTAAAATACTCCCTTTTGCACTTTTCGTGCAGCGTCTTACTAACTTCATACAGCTATTGAGGAGATATGACTTCACCGTCATGAACCCAGAGAAACCAATCAAGACTCTCAGTGCGATTTTCTTTGTCGCCAGGGATTTTTGGGTGAGGTTGACTAGGCGTCCAACGAGGAGTTGACGGACAGCCCGACTTCAATCGTTCTCCCGTAATTAATGACTGCTACGAATTTCCTGTATTTTCTTCTCGTCACATTGTCTGGTGAGCGAATCTCCCACTTGACGCAGTCTTGTGATACCTTCATCTTTCGATGGAGTTCATCAAGCAAGGGCTGCAACGCAGTATTTGTAATTGAAGTAATGTATTGTCACATATACATTGCTATGTTGTATTGCACGTTGTCAGGAGTGAATCCGAATGATTTTATGTGATCAATTTTCCACTATTTTCTTTCTGATGTTGAAGCATACATACTTAGTACTTAGAATTGCTTCATAGACAATAAGGACGCTAGACAAGAAGGGAAAAAAGGGCAGGGTATAATCTCTGACGGAACTAAGCTTATACTTCGGTTACCCAGCTCTTCTTCCTACAAACAGATCCGCAACCTACAAGAAAGTCAATGGACTTCCCGCGACTCTTCTTAAGGACGATTATGGTCGCCAAAGACAGCACAGATAGGCACACAGTAACCCAGAACAACACAGTCCCCAGGTGATCTGACACGTAGTTCAAGAACTGCCCATCGGAACCGTGCCATGAGCGTCCTGCTGCGTGGCCGAACAGCTTCCGGGCGTATCCGTCATCCAGCAACGCCACGCCGTGATGCAATGTGCTGTACATCCACGCATACTGATGAAACGCATATGTGACCATTATCGGGCCTGTCGACCAGAATACCTGGAGGTAGGGAAGGAGGATTCGTTTCGAGGTCGCACCGCCGCGTCGCTTAGCTTCTTGAAGAGCCCATTCGAGAAAGGAGGAGCCACGCTGTGCCATGAAGAAGTGATTGCTGAGTCCAAGAGTACCTGATGTTGGAGCGAAGACAGCCTGCAAGCCGAGACTTTGCATACAGGACATCTCCTCAGTCGATCTGGGGTATACGTCCAAGTCTGCATAAATGCCTCCCTCTGCATGGACAACTACCAGTCTCGCCACATCGGCTCTTTGAATGTTCTGGGCATAGCCCTCGTACGTCGATAACAACCAAGAGTATTCCGTCTTTATAAGTTCGAAAACATCTTCGTCTGTCCATAGTTTGACGGTATAGTTGAGAGGTTCCATCGTGTGTTTCCACGTCTCGTATGAGGCTTGTATTCGCTCTCCCAAACCTGGATAAGTGCTTGTATCGTTGTTTTTCCAAATTTGGTGAATAATTTTAGGAATGGGCTCTCGTCGTGTTTTTGAATCGGTGAGGTCTAGAAAATCTTTTCCGTGGCGTTCAGAAGCATTACAAGACCCGATGATCTCTATGGACTGGTTTGGCAGAGCGAAGTCGTTGGCGTAGCTGAGTTGATGAACAACTAAGGCGGCCGTCATGGCTAAGGTGACAAGCACCGAGGCCTTCAACATTGCTTTCCCAGGGAGTGCTATCATCTTGAACACCGGAGACTATTCCCTTTTATGCTTTCGTCGGATGTGATCGTCGAGGATTCTCGGGTTTCGAACAGAATGAGGAGAAGAATCGAAAAAGGAATACGTCGCTAAAGTTGAGGGTATATCGTGAAAGTAAAGAACAAATAGACGGCTGAGTAAGGTCGGAAATAACAATGCTGGAAGCTTAAAAGAATCGAGTCGGGTATCACAGAAGAGATTCTCAGAAAAATGATCGTTTGTGGAACGATGTCAAAGAACGTACAGTGAAGGATTGAAACGACATTAAACGAAAACTGTGTCTGAGGTGTCGTTCTCAAGAGGAAGTTCGACCAAATGGTATTCTATTAAATAGAAGAGACTTCATGTGGCTCGCAGCACACAGACAAAGACTTCAGAGTACAGAGTTCTTTATCAGTTCAACATTGCCCAGGTACCGCTACAGGCTACTCCTAGACTAGATGTACCTTGCTGGCCTGTACCATGGTTCATCTCTCCTGACTCGAGAAATCATCGTCACAAATCCATTCTTTAGGTTTTGGAGCCAGACTAATGGAGGTACCGGACACGATGTTGGACACTTTCGGACCAGCCCCATCAAGCGGCTAGCTGCTTTCCTAACCATCTGCGACCTGGCTGCCTCCCCATTCGCATCGGGTTTTCAAGAGCGGCTATCATGACACTGAGGCGATCTCCCATTGACAGCTTCGCCACAACTCGGCAGCTGTCAATGGCCTGAAGGAACCTCCTTTTACGACGATAGTGCTGCTCACTTACGTATGGACGCACGTGGATGTTGGTGAACCTGGAGTAACCGTTGGTGTGGAAAAAGTGTGGTTCGTAAAGTTTTACGACGAATTAATCGTGGAACCAACAGTTAGGCAACAGTTTAACTCATCCCTAGAGCGGAAAGGCGATGGGCGCCTCCCTGGCTCAAGGAGGGCTGAGCTCCAGATGAAGTCTTTTGCATTCTACCCCCTGCATGAACGACAGGCACTTGGCCAATTGCATGCGAGTTTGTCATAATTACCCCAATGGTGTTTCTTTATCTAATATTTGTCCCGACTTTTTCCATGGAAGATATAATCAGGTCAAGATCACTTGCTCTGACTTCGCAGTGGATTGGAATGAGCTAGGTACAGGTGTGTTGCGGAGTTAATTCACTGTCCATGAAAGTAAGGCTCATGATTCTGTCCCAACTTTGAGTCTAAAAAGAAAACCATTAAGACTTCTAGACCAGCATTTCCGTAGCCTCACGTCTCATGGAGACATAATCAATATGTGCCAAATGATCCTGCCGCATAGCCTTGCAGTAATTTGAAGGATTACTAAACGTGGACCACTTATATCCCAGAGTGGCATTTATCGCCTTGCGTTAAGCGCGCCTAATGGCCCGCGACCTACTACATTATCCTCCACCCTCAAGGCATCAGCATTTTGTACCGTCTCCGCACAAGGCAGCAGTATTTCTAGACAAAGAAAAGGGTAGCCCTGGCATGGAATACAAGATCCGGCGGTATGGGGAAGTAGGAGTTTAGAGTGCAGTTGACAAGCATCTTGATGTTCATGGCCAATCGGCTTCGTCCTTCCTCGGGCAATTACCAGCAAGCGAACAGTGGGTTGTTACAGACCACGTATCGCCTACTTTTAATTTAGCCTGCCATAAGTACATGGTCAAGTTGAAATCAACCTCTTTCGGCATGGACGAAATCCATTTGTCCGTCTGTATTTCATCCGTCTTCAGAGAAGGGGCCGTGCGGCATGGTGAAGTTGCCCAACTTGGCCACAAACGGAAACATATGAGGCCTTGACTCCGAATAAGGAAGGACAACGTTGACAGCGAATGGCTAGCGCATGTAAGTGAGGTCTGATGCTTCCATGAAATGGACTGTGACACACCCATGGGGTCAAACTAAGGTTAGTGGAATCCATTGCTCAAGCGATGAGAGAGCATGACCACAACTGGGGCGCTCATGTCATTATCTAACGCTGGTTGTCATTTTCTGGGGATAAAACCGCGCAGAAAAGTGCCCCGATATCAACCGGATGCAAGGTAACGTTGTCAAGGGTCCTTTTCACCATGTCGATCTCTGTTATCCTAAATGATGTGCTCAGGACGACACCTTACCAGGACCAATGCATAACATGGGCTTGATACTACTCACCACCCTGTGCCCCCACGACATTCTTAGTCATGAGGACGTACAGCTCGTATTCAGATGGTAGAACTCCCCGTTTGGAGATTTGCAGGGTGTTCTTCTAAATGTCACAACGAAAGCTTTGTTGTGACTATGGAAAGTTACGGACAGTACCAAGCGTATTTCCCAGGTAAGCCAGATTTCACCACTATCATGCCAAGTCTGGTGTCAGGACTACTTGAAATCTTGGGGATGATAGCATGAATCACGTTTGCCTCGTTTCTCGAGCCTCTACTCCTTTGGATGGCCCCGGTTCTCAAGGGAAACCATGATCTGTTGGCAAGAGTAGGTACAAAAATTCTCTTTCTCACCCGACTTCAGGAACCCTTCGCTGGGTTGGTCCCTATTTCGTCTATGAAGAAACATCTAGAATCGTTCCCGCCTCCAATGACAGTTTGCTGCGGAAGGAGATTGGAGCGGCTTGAGAACCCCTATCTCTCAAAGGAGGTACCTCTACCGCTTCACGTTGACCCAGCAGTACCACTACATACTGGCATTAGGTACCTACATTACCTGACCAGATTCCCAGCCCACACAGTTTGGCATTGCTCGATGAGAATGGACACGAACTTCCTACCGAAAATAAGTACCGAAGAACTGTAAGCCAATAGGTCTTGCCCACTAAAGCATTGATCTGATCATCATTTAACGCAGTAAGGTTACTCCAGGGGAAGTGGAATCCATTCTTGACCATTTCATTACAAATGATTTCTGGAATGCTGGTGCCTGGTATGTCTTCCGGTAGCATGACCAAGCGTACCCTCTGCGAAATTTCTATGTTGAGCGTTTTTTGCAGCACCAGACAGAGCTTGGCTGCAATACCGGAGGCCGAGGGCAATGCTCTAGCACATGTACCAACGCAGCACAACCGTCTTTCAATACTTGCCTCCTAAAGTAGGGTTGATGTATCTAGAACACAAGCCATGCTATTCTCTGCGGCAAACCTTTCAGAGCTATCTCAGGACTTAACTCCAGACGATCGGCTCGTCGAAGCGGCGTCTCCTCCACGGGAGCTCTTGATCTCTCGGTCATCAAAGAAGAGGGGCATACCTACCACATCAATACTACATGTTAAGCGATCCGGGACTGACACAAGAGCTCGTGCTACAGAGCATCCAGACCCTTAGTGTCCCTTCGATATTCTAGCCCTTCCCCAGAAATCGAAGCGAAGTACATTAGTCTTACTCCGGCCACGAGAGCTCTTACTTGCCGTTCGCTGTCTCAGCCCTAGTTGGAGCTGAGGCAACGGCACATATCTCGAGCCCGGGGATGTACCATCAACATGCTGCGTTCACTCATCCGACGACGAGAACATCAACGGTTTGCGGGCCGTTCCAGCAAAATCCATGCGGAACATGGCATTCCCGGCACTCGGTCGATGAGCGATGTGCATTCTACGGCCTTCCGCTCAAGTACCGTCGTGCTGTTTGCGGCCTCGGTATCAATGCTTGGAGTTCGTGGCTTTCAGCTCTGTCTCAAAATGGATCGATGAGGAGGAACACTGGTAGGAATTGGCCCAGAGGCGAAATTTTGGGAATGCAAACGTCGCAAGCCAGCATCTAGGAGCATCAGCTGAAGCAGTCTTGCGATTCTCCCGACCGCAATCGCATTTGAGGGCTTGTCAATCATCGAGAGATATTTGCCTAGTTGGTTACAAAAGGCGATGGCAAACCATGAAATTGTGGCATCTTTCTGTTCTTTCGTTCTTCATCCAAACGACTTCAGCTAATTTCTCATCTTCAAGTCCGGACTGATCTTCTCCACTGCACCTCTGCGCAACAATGTCTCCGAAATCTTCTCTGCCCGACCCTGCCCCCTTCCCTCTGTCTTCCAAAATAGATCCATGGATACAAACGAATCTCGTCGAGAATATCTTCGATGGCAACCTGACCCTCTTACAAGATGCCGTGAACGCAGCAACTGCTCACGGTATTCCTCAGTTGAGAGATTGGGGCATCAAGGACGCTGATACCTTCCTCCGATTCCTCAGTGCCATGCTGAACTGGGTGCCCTCGGAAGTCTGCAGCGGAAAGCTCATCTACAACACGTTCTGCGTACTCTACTTTGTCCTCGACCAGAGCCCCATCAACGTCCCGATCCCGAAACCGGCAAGCTGAAGCCTCATCGTAGCTACAACTCGCCATATGCCCAAGCGAAGCAGAAGGCGGGTGATGGAGAGAACAGCACTCTAAGTATGCCCGATGAGGCCGGGTACCAATTCCTCCAAGCCCGAGGTTGTGTCATCATCAAGAATCCCCTTCTCGGCTACGTCGCTGTGCTGCCCATCGGTATGGCCCAGGTTTCCTCGGTCAATCTTGTGTGGCAGCCTGGACCGGGACAGCAATACCCAATCCAGCCGAATGTGAACATCAACAAGGGCGACGAGATATCTCACTTCGAGTTTGGAGGTTCCGACATCATCCTTGTGTTCCAGCAGGACGCCCAGGTTCACATTCTAGGTGCCCAAGGTCAGGCTGCGGATGGCACGCCTACGAGCAAGCAGAAGTACCTGGTTGGCATGCCCTTGGGTTATTCGACAAAGGGCCTCGTTCCTTCTTCGAATGGTCACAGAAATGGAGTATCCAATGGGCATTGATAAGCCAACAAAGGCTGCAAACAGCTTCATCCGGCTGTATTGTCTGCATTCCTGGATCTCTCGAGAGGATGTGTCATGTCATAGTTCCCTGGTAACTCTGCTCAGTTTCATAGTAACACTATCCTTCACGCTCGCTTGTGCCCCTGCTATTGCAACAATGAAGGGCTCTTTTCTGAACTGTGCACTGGATATCGTATCTTGGGAAAAGCCGTATGTAACTTTTGTATGAATATGTACACGAAAAGGGGTCAGTGGCCCCTCACAAGCTAGCCAGGTCTCTCGAGTCTTTGCTCGCGAACGCACTTTTGGCTCTAAGTGTACCCCCATACCTCAACAACATTGGAGGTACAGCACACAGAACCGTGGCTAGAGTAGCAAACACAGAAGTTGCGACATTAAAGCCCAACGAGTCAAACAGTGCTCGTCCGACGAGAGGAAACGTTGCTGAGAGCGCCGCTCTAGAAAGTGACAAAGAGGCAAATGCGCTGGCAGAGTATGTCTGATAGCAATCGGTGAGATATCCAGCCAGGACGTAGTCAAACTCATTGACCGCGTAGCCTATCGGTACCAGAGCTATCGTCGGGATAGCCCAGTGTGCCGATGTCGTGTATGGTGGGATAGTCCAGGCAAATACCCACAAGAAGATAGCTAAACAGAGCGAACCGAGGATGAATCCTGTGAATTTCGACTCGGGTGTGAGTGGTAGCGATCTTGACATCCTCTCGGCGAGGACCCGACGATCGTAGAGACGTGTGAGTACGCTGAGGACCATGCCAATTGCGAGAGGGAGAAAAGGTAGGTTCATCGATGCGTCGGTAAAGCCCATGTCGACGTAGACAAGGGGTAGAACCTCGGTGAAGAGGTAGACGAGCCCAAAGGCGATGGCGCTAATTACGGCGGCGAGGAAGACTATTGGTTCGGTGAAGAAGAGTCGTAGGGGGCGGAGGAGGTCGAGTTTCTCGTGGGTTAAAGGGAATGCTTTGCTCGGTGATGTGGTGTTTGTGCTAAAGCCTTGAACTTCGGTGAGTGCCTGGGCCCTCGCTAGTACAACGGAAGGACGAGACTCTCTGATTGTGAGGAGCAGCATCGTGAGGCATGCTGTGACTATGGCCGCAGTGTAAAACACCCACGTCCTTTGGATTCCATGATCAGTTCTAGTACACTCAAGCTGAGCCAGACATCATAGTCTTACCAGTGAGTACTTCTCATGACCAAGTCACTGAAGACCGGCCCAGTCAATATCCCAAGGTTCGCGACCAGTGACCACCAGTACAGCCACCATACCCGAGCATTGGTGTCCCAAAGATCTTCTATGCTGCCCGTGGCAACAATGGTAGGGACAGACGATAACAGTCCACCGATGAAACGACCGACAACAATGCCAGGAATTGTGGGCATCTTGCCGACGAGGATGCATGACAGGCTGTACAGGCCGGTGCTGATTACGTAGAGTTTCTTCCGGCCAAAGGACTCTGACCATGGTGGGAAGAAGACTCCTCCGATCATTTGGCCGATGAGATATCTATGTGGCAATGTGAGTGATCTGAGGGAGTGGGAAAGGCCCTCTTTTTTCCATCTCGCTTACGTTGAAACAAAAATGCAAGTCGCTGCAACTGGGCTGAGGTCAAGATCGCCGTAAATGTGTCCAGCAACCGGTGACTGTTGAAGATGGTCAGCATTAGCTTTCAAGTCGAAGGTAGCTGAGGAAAACATACTCCTGCGGTGCTGATCATAGTACTGGACAAAGTCAGCTGTGATACCCAGACTGTAAAAACATGTTGACATACGTGAAAAACTCAAGAAAGACAATCAAGCACGTATCATATGCCTTCCGCGCCTGGCTCCATTGCCTCGGATGAACGTGCTCTTCCGGCGTCCACGAACCCTCACTCCCAGAGCAAGGAATAACCGAAAGCTCAACATCTAACTTTGGATAGTCCCTCGTCGTAGATGGGGAGGCAGAAGAAGGCGCAGCTGTCAAATGAGTAAAAGGCATGTTGAAGGCGGCAGGCGGCGTACTCCTCCTTGCTCCGAAATCATTGCAGCCAGCCATGCAAGGACTTTTCTCTCTTCAATCGCTCACTGACTTTTCTTCCCACGCGGCTGTCAAAATGCTCTGCCCGGACGGTGATATGGAGAACCACAGAAGTTGTCAACACGAAGGATTGCAGCCCTGATATATCAATATTGCCCACATTTGCGCCAAGGTGGGTTGAAAACGTGCTTGTGCCTGCCCGGGGGAACTAGTGCAAGCCCAGTTGGAGGTAGCCTACCCAGTCCGTGTTCGCGCCATTCAGACAAAGGCATTTGAGGGTATTCTGTTCGGAGTGGCATGTCTCGACCCAGTCCAATACGACAGCAACCGTTTGCTGACCGCAGTTTCGGGAATTAGTTAGACCAAATCGAGGCATTGAATCGGCATCTGAGCCAGGGCGTGGACAAGGGAATTCTCCCGCTGACCTTGTCCTTCCAAGAATATGGGGGCAGGGCTCCCCCATGCCTGTCATTACCGCCTTTACCGGGTCTACCTAAGGTGAAAGGAGGGAAGACGAGAAGCTCCGAGCATCGACGGCTCATGACTTGTCCACCTCTGAAGTAAGGAGAGATCTAGACTGAGCACGACATGCCACGACAACTCGTCTCCGAACCAATCGCTTCATCGACTCACAGTTTCACCCTTGCAATTCGCTTAGTCTGTTTGCAGTTTAGATGGGGTTCAAAGCCTTTTCAGCCACCCCGTCTCAAGCCAAACCGCGCCGGAGCTGGAGTTTAGTTTCCCAAGGGGGAGCAGGGCCAACACACCCAACTTCACCCAGCTTGCCAGCGTTCACCCAAACTTCACCCAACCCAAGAAAAGGAGGCACCCAATCTCCCCAGACCAACGAGACACGGGGCGTCCGCTTGGCGCGGCCCGGCGGCACGGTACCATACACGCTAAGTGGTCGTGCGTCTTGCGCGATTGGCTCTGGCGGGTTTGCCGGTCCTCGAGTCCTCGTGAGGGGGGCGCCACAAGCGTGTGAGCCGCCTCCGGGACTAGGGCTTTTTCGGTAGAGATGCAAGTCTGGGCTGAGCTGAGGTGTTCTCAGCTCCAGGCAATATTGAGATCTGCCGAGAGTCATTGGGCATACTTACTTCATAGCTTCATGCTCAGGAATTTAGGACTAGAATGTGAATACGGTGAAAGAAGGACTGGGATCGGAAGACTGCAAACGACTGTTGGGAAGCGTCCAGCTTGCCTTGACAACAAGAAAGCGCTATTCGATTACGAACTCTCACAGTCGTCGTGTTCATTTCGGACAGAATGAAAGGTAGTGAGGTAGCACAGAGTTGAGGTGAGCAATATCGTCGGGTTTGTTGACATTCGCCATCATAAGTGCGACAGAGCGGCGATGAAGCCAGAAAGGACATGATCAACAAATTGAACCTTTCACGGTACCAGGCATTCTGTTTGTCTCCCGAGACGGCAGTCCCAAAAAAAAGATGGACTCCGCCAACTTCATTGCAGAATCGGGTATGTTTCCCTTGACGTTCGTTGGTATATACCTGTCCATTCATCTAGCTGTGGGGTCATAGTCTTGTTGGTTGCCACCGTTGCCTTTGACCTGTGATGTTTGCGTTTGAGTCCCGAGTCTCGACTCTCATTACCTTGTTTGTTTCTGGAGGCTCCGCGCGAACCGTTGGCTCCTCGCCGGTAACAAACAACATCTCACAGCTTCATTTCAACGACTGCGGAGTCAAGAACGCGGAGATGACAGAAAACGAACTTAATCTTATTGCTCCCCCGGAAAACTCATCAGCACAGGTCGCCAACATGCCCTCCCCCAACGTGCCGATCCCGTTGGCTCCCGTGGGCTCCCGCTCCCGTTTACACCGAGTCTGAGTCCCTTCTCTCTATCGTACAACCACATCAATGTCACCATCCACACTGTCCAGCTCCCTCTCAAACGTCATCTGGATATCCACAACCTGCTGCAGCTGCTCACAGTCCAATCTCCGCTTCTTGTGCGCGGCCAAACTCTTGGCCGTCCGGACCACGTTCTTGATTTGCCGCCCGTTCAACTTGCCCTCCGCGAGCTTCTCATACCCATCCTCGTCAATGTCGACACCGCCCTCGACATTGCCCAGGAAGTTCTTCCACACCTTCAACCGGCTCTCGCGCGGCAGGTCATCATACTTGAGAGGCACGTGGATGCGACTCTTGAAGGCGTCGTCAAAGGTCCGCACGCGGTTGGTTGTCATGAAGAGAATACCGCTATAGTACTCGAGGGTGCGCAGGAAGATGGATACGAGACTATTGCGCTCCATATCGTGCAGTGATCGACGCTCGAGGAAGACGTCGGCCTCATCGATGAGGAGCACCGCTTTCCAAGTACTCGCTAGATCGAGCGTCTTGGTCAGCTTGTCGTCCAGCGCCGCTGACGAGGTACCGAGGTCGCCAGAGGAGACAATGTACAGAGGCCGACGGCTGAACTCTGCCACGCACTCTGCCGTCAAGGTCTTTCCCACGCCAGGAGGACCATGCAAGACGAGAATGAGGCCCTTGCCCTTACCCTTGACAATGTCATCAAACGCTGACGAGCTTGGATCGGTGGTCCGGGCGGTGTGCTCCGCGACAAGAGCCTGCACGAGCTCCTTTTGGGAGTCTGGGAGGACGAGCTGCTCGAAGCATTGGGTGTTCCACTCGATGGGGCTGATCTTGTCGACGAAGAAGTCAAGGAACTTCTTCTCTGTGAAGCTGAAGCCGCGGACCATGGGGCTGGCCAGCAGGCATTGCTCGTCGGTCAGAGTCGCAAACTCGGCTGTCTCCTTCGGAACGAGTTCCATGTCGTCGCTCTCGTCGTCTTGCTTCCGCTTGCGGCCTGCCACCTTAGGAAACGAGTTGACGTTGAAGGCGTAGTCGGCCATGATGCGGTGGTGAGTCTCCGCATCGACCATGACGCGGCCATCAATGTTGAAGCGGCGGTTGCGGGGGTCCAACGCCACGCCCTTATACTGACGGA